ACAGGAATTAAATGCTCTGGAAACTAAACTTAACTGTGAATTACAAAAAGAACTAAGAAATATTAAACAACAAATACAAAACATAGATGATAGCGAAATTAAAACCTATATTCAACAACAAATACAAAATATAGATGATAGCGAAATCAAAACCAAATACAGAACATTGATGATAGTGTTATTCAACAACAGATAACCACTATTAATAACCTAGTTTTAAAACAGGACAAAAATATACTCGCATTAGAAAAGTATCTCAAGAAAGAAAATAAATCATATTATTTCAATCTTCTATTTGGAAGTTTGAGTCTTAGAGATGCTTCTATTACTGATAATATTGATAGATCAAAAGAGTATGAATATAAAAAATATGGATTTACAGCAAATATAAGAGTATATAAACCAAAAAATGATGATCCCCATAAAATGTTTCTTGGTGATTATTATGCTTTAATTTTCAAAGGAAAACTTATAATTGAAATTATTTTTCCTATGCAGGTAAAAGTTGATACATTATTCTTCAAACAAAACTTACATACAATTAAAACATTTAACGCTCGTAAAGTTCTTCAGTTTATCAATGGTACAAAAAATGTAGAAACTAAAGAATTTGAAATTAACAACGATAACAACATCATTCGTTACTTATATAAAATTAAAACGAGTGGAAAATATATAGATAGGTTTAGAATGTTAATCATACCAGATAATGAAGAAGATGAATTTTCATTTAGTAATTTTGATATGATATTGGAAACGGAAACTTCACCATCAATGAATATTATTAGAAATCCTGAACCACAAAAAGAAGAAACAACAATCAGTTTTTTACGAACGACAGACTTTGAATACGTAAAACTATTTTTTGTTAATAAAAGTTTTATACATAAAGACGAAATTTTCTATTCATATGATTTATTTTCCTCAATCGATATTCATAAAAGCCAACAAGATAAAATCTTTTGCTTTATCAGAAATTCACTTAATTTAATTACCTAAAAAATGGAACTAGAAAGCAGACAAAACTACATGATAGCAAAAACAAAACGGACTAAAAGAAAAACTAAAACACTTTAACGAATGTAGAAAAACATGGAGTAGAATTGATTCTGTTTTCAAAACATTTAGCACAGTTCTAACAGTAGGGATATCGGTGGCAACAGCCGTAACCGGTGGATTAATGCATCCAATAATTGTCCCACCTGTATTAGCCGCGTTCACTGCCGTTCAAACTTTAGGTTTTACAACAAAACAGAAAGCTCATTATAAAAAGAAAACAGAAATTTTAAATACATATCTTTATAAATTGTTTATATTTTTCGAAAGATCGAGAGAAGATAAGAACATATCCATTGAAGAATTAGAAAAATTCAATGAAATTTTAGATAAATTTGATGTAGAAATATCATCAATAAAAGTTAAAAATTCCTAGTTAAAAATAGTTGCTTAAAAAATATGAATGAAATTGAAATTTTAGACGATGAAACATTCATATCGAATGATCTTTTTTCAGTATTATTAACCTTATCTCTGATAAATTTGATACATTTAAAGGACAAATTGAATTAGATGGAGAGATAATTCAAGACGGAGAACACAAACAAAACATGCAATTTGTAGGCTTTAATACAAAAACTTTTCACAATTTTCTTCGCAACAGTGGATGTAAAATCGGATGCTTCTGATTGGCATTTCTCAGGAAAAATCATTTTACGTAGAAACAATTTCAAAGAAATAAAAGATCAAAAAAGGGTAGTGGTGTTACCCTACTCAAAAAGATCAATGAATATATCGGTATAAGTTGTTATATACCAAGCGATGGATACTGCTTTGTAAAGTGCGTAAATCGTGTTTTAAACGAAGACTACACGAGAGAATTTGAAGATTTCATCAACAGTTTTTGAAAATCAAACTGAAAAGGAGTTATGACAACTGCTAGAATCTGAATTCAATAAGAAATTTAATACTTATTTTCAAATTTATATGCCCAAACATAGACCTTTTAAACCAAAGAAAGTATCCGAAGAATTAGATTGGGTATTTTACTTACATAAATCGCATTTCTGTCTCATTAGAAGAAATAACAAAACATTAGGCATTACAGAAAGAGAAGATAATTACGATGAAAACGTATGGAGAACTTGTAGAGATGATAATGCTGTAACGCAAGTTTCACCTCTAAAACTAAACGTTTTTCCAACAATTCACGATGATTGTTTATACGCATGGGATTGCGAAACCTATAGCGAAAACGTTTCTTCGACGTTTCTTCTATGTATACCAATATTGATAACACTACTGGTCTAACGGCAGTTCGTAAAGCTTTTAATAGAAAATCAGATCCAAACAGACCCGAAGATGCAATTCTACAGCTTTTAGAGATTTGTCTTAGTCGAAACGATTTCACATTTAATGGTAAAACATTTACAAACTTCAGGGACAGCAATGGGCAAACGATTCGCCCCTTCGTACGCAAACCTTTTAATGGCAGAGTGGGAACGTGAGGTGTTGCCCCTCTGTCCATTTGACCCACTTTTTACGGATGCTTTTTGGATGACATTCTTATGGTTTGGACCTATTCTAACGAACAGTTTTGGGAATTCTTTGAAATTCTCAACAACCACCATCCTTCTATCAAACTAACCGCAAACGTGAGTGACAAAAGCATAGACTTTCTCGATACCACAGTCTTTAAGGGAGATTCCATAGCAGAAACAAATAAACTGGATATTAAAGTGTATTTCAAAGAAACTGATACTCATCAACTCTTGCACAAGAGCTCCTTTCACCCAAAACATACCTTTTCTGGTATATTTAAGTCACAAGTTTTACGATTTCATCGAATTTGTACAAGATCTTCTGATTTTAACCAAGCCTGTACGATTGTTTTCTCAAAACTGAAAGAGCGTGGGTACTCTAAACAATTTTTACAAAACATAAAAAATTCCACCTTGGCACAGATAGCAGCTAAAAACAGACTTTATGCCGAAGTACCTCCAGGTTTAAGAAGTGCTCCATGTTTGTCCAGTAGATGCAAAACATGTCTTTATACCAGAAACTCATTATTTTGTAAGCAACTCTACGAATAAAAGGTACCCGATCCAGGAACATCTAACCTGTGAACATTCGAATGTAATATATTTAATTTCATGCAAGAAATGTCCCAAACAATATGTAGGAGAAACTAAGAATAATTTACGAACTCGCTTTAATGCTTATAGGTCAGACATCAAATTAAAGAAAGACAAGCCTGTATCTAATCATTTCAACCTCGACGACCATTCAATAGACGATCTCACCCTAATCCCAATTGAGCGTATAGAAATTGACTTGCCCGAAGATGAAACTACCAAATTCCGTCAATCTAGGGAAGCCCATTAGTAGTATATGTCTTTTCGGATATGACGCATTTCACTTCTGCGCATGCGCAGCTTTTTCAATGCGTCATATCCGAAAAGACACAACTGTTAAAATGTATTATAACAGACTCCCAAAACTTTTAAAAATGTATTATAACAGACTCCCCAAACTGTATTATAACAGACTCCATATAAATTACCCAAACCACAGACAAGAATCACTAATAATAATACAGTATAAAATAACCGCATTAAAAATATCTTTAATTTTAAAACACGAAAAAAAAAATTCGAAGGAGACGGTTTC